ACTAGAGGCCACAAACCATGAACAACACACAACCCCAGATGTGCTGGGGTCCAACCCCAGCAGGTCCAGGGGTCCCCAAAGGTGTAGACGGAGTCGGCGAAGAAGGAATGACATGGAGACAGCGTTCAGTTGATCAGCAGCCTAGCCAGGATCTCTAGCCAAGTTCTGTTCCGGATCTTTAGCGAAGTTCTGGCTAGGATCTCCAGCCAGGTTCTGTGTCCATGTTCTCTTGCTAGGTTCTCCAGGTTCTCCAGCCAGGTTCTGTCCAGGTTCTCCAGCCAGGTTCAGTCACCAGGTTCTAGTCAGGTTCTCTTGCCAATTTCTGTAGTCAGGTTCAGTCCAGGATCTTTTGCCATGTTCTCTCGCTAGGTTCTGTCTCTAGGTTCTGAGGCCAGTTTCTGTCCAGGATCTTTTGCCATGTTCTCTCCAGCGAAGGTCTTCTGTCTCTAGGTTCTGTCTTCTAAGTTCTGTCTTGTTACATCTGTATTTATACCAGTTGATTCCAATCCTATCAATCTCTATTCCAAAGGTTAGGGCGTTTCTTATCTCCATTCCAGGGAGTAAAGATTATGTAGCTTAAGCATGATTGTTCGTAAAGTGATTAATTACCCGCCTGGCACTTAGTTAAGAGGTTTTATTCCCTCCCTAACTTCAGGGGAAAAATCCCTACCTGGGGAAACAACCTTTCTCAGAGAGGTGACCTTGGTTAAAACACATAGTGCCAAGAAGGTGAGCAAACATATCAAGAACAGTATGCCATATATGCCAGGTCCTTTGAAACAGCAAGGATGGACCGGCTCCCAGCACAGATGGAGTTATTAGTGCTGGTGCCAGGCCAGGCCTTGAGATGTGGTCTCACTGCCTCCATCCCAGCACATGGGGCTTTTTGCAAAGCCTGTGAAAGGTCTGGAAGTGTGACCCATATTTGGGGGACAAAGAAACCAAAGGGGTTTAAAGGGAAAGCTTCCTCCATATTGGTTTGCTCAGGGTTTGGAGAGAAACAAACTCCCCCGTCACTGTTCCGGTACCTGTGAAATGTCTGGAAATAAGTGGGTTTCCCGGTGCCTCCAGTATTCCTGCGTATTTTTCGCTCGCCTGGTAAATTCTGAAACAAGGCCAGGTGGGATCAGTCGCTCAGGGCCCCCAAAGCCCCTTTTGCAGTCCTCTCTTTAAACCAGTGGTTCTCAACCTTCCTAATGCCGCGACCCTTTCATACAGCTCCTCATGTTGTGGTGACCCCCAACCATAACATTATTTTCGTTGCTACTTCATAACTGTAATGTTGCTACTGTTATGAATCGTAATGTAAATATCTGATATGCAGGATGTATTTTTATTGTTACAAATGGAACATAATTGAAGCATAGTGATTCATCACAAAAACAATATGTAATTATATATGTGTTTTCCGATGGTCTTAGGCGACCCCTGTGAAAGGGTTGTTCGACCCCCAAAGGGGTCGCGACCCACAGGTTGAGAACCGCTGCAAACGTTAGCAAAGCATGTCCCAATTAGCATATTCTACAGTCTACACCCCGGACCGAGGATCAGAACACATCTTCGTGAGAACCACGGGGCTTCCCTCCCTGACTGTAAGGGGGCCGGCCGAGCCTGTCACAGCCCCGGGGCCGAGCGCCTACAAACGGAGCCTGCTTCGCTCACCCAGGTCCTCCCAGCACGGCCGGCCCGGGGTCTGGCACAAGGCGCGTCTCAGTCCATCCTGCTGGGTCACACAAAGGACCCGTCTGTCCCCTGCTTCTCAGTTCGGAATGCGCACACGCCCAGGGGTGTGCCCCGGAGCCCCGGGGACTCATAAACCCACGGCAACTTTTTAAAACATTCATCACCACGCTGAGCCACAGAATTTTTTCCTTGTGATGAAAACGTTTTGAGATTTCCTCTCTTAGCAGCCTTCAAGCACGCAGTGCAGCAGTGGTAAGTACGGTCGCTGTGCTGTGCACCCCCAGGGCTCACACCTGCAAGTTTGTACCTTTAACCACCTTCCCCCATTTACGGCCCGCCCCCCCCAACTCCTCCTGCCCCTGGCAACCACCACTCTGTACTCTGTATCTATGAGGTTTTTAAAAATATATATTTTATTGATTTTTTTTACAGAGGAAGGGAGAGGGATAGAGAGTTAGAAACATCGATGAGAGAGAAACATCGATCAGCTGCCTCCTGCACACCTCCTACTGGGGATGTGCCTATAACCAGGGTACGTGCCCTTGACCGGAATCGAACCTGGGACCCTTCAGTCCGTAGGCTGGCGCTCTATCCACTGAGCCAAACTGGTTAGGGCAAGGGGATTTTTTTGTTTTTGTTGTTTTAAGATTACAGATACAAGTGAGATCATATGGTATTTGTCTTCCTCTGTCCATCTTATTTCACTTAGTATAAAGCCCTCAAGATCCGTTCATGTTGTTTCAAATGGCAGGGTCTCCTTTTTTTTTTTTTTTTAAATATATTTTATTGATTTTTTACAGAGAGGAAGGGAGAGAGCTAGAGAGCCAGAAACATCGATGAGAGAGAAACATCGATCAGCTGCCTCCTGCACGCCTCCCACTGAGGATGTGCCGGCAACCAAGGTCCATGGCCTTGACCAGAATCGAACCCGGGACCCTTGAGTCCGCAGGCCAACGCTCTATCCACTGAGCCAAATCGGTTCTGGCCAGGGTCTCCTTTTTTATGGCTGAACAATATTCCATTGTATACACACACCACAGCTTCTTTATCCATTCATCCATGTCTTGGCTGTGGTAAATAATGCTGCAGTGAACACTGGGGTACATATATCTTTTCGAATTAAGTGTTTTATTTCCTTCAGAGAAATACCCCAAAGTGGAATTGTTGAATCATATGGGAGTTTGATGTTTAACTTTTTGGGGGACCTCCATACTGCTTTCCACAGTGGCTGCACCAGTCTGCATTCCCGCCAGCCGTGCACGAGGGTTCCCTTTTCTTCATATTTTCACCAGCTCTTGTTTGTTGATTTATTGATGGTAGTCATTCCGACACCTGTGATGTGGCACCTCCTTGTGGTTTTCATTTGCATCTCTCTGATGAGTAGTAACGTTGAGTATCTTTTCATATGTCTATTGGCCACCTATATGTCTCCTGTGGAGAAGTCTCTATTCAGGTCCTCTGCCCATTTTTTTTAATTGGATTGTTTTTCTTGATGTTGTTTTGTAAGTTCTTTTTTTTTAAAAAAAGATATACTTTATTGATTTTTTACAGAGAGGAAGGGAGAGGGATAGAGAGTTAGAAACATCGATGAGAGAGAAACATCGATCAGCTGCCTCCTGCACACCCCCCACTGGGGATGTGCCCGCAACCAAGGTACATGCCCTTGACCGGAATCGAACCCAGGACCCTTGAGTCCGAAGGCCAACGCTCTATCCACTGAGCCAAACCAGTCAGGGCTTGTAAGTTCTTTATAAATTTTGGATATTAAGCCCTTATCAGATGTATCATTGGCGAATATGTTCTTCCATTCAGTGAGTCGTCTTTTCATTTTGTTGATGGTTTCCTTTGCTGTGCAAAAACTGTTTAGTTTGATGTAGTCACATTTGTTTATTTTTTCTTTTGTTTCCCTTGCCCAAGGCAATATATCAAAAAAAAAATATTGCTGCTAAGAAATGTCTGAGATTTTACTGCCTAACTATGTGCGTGTGTGTTTCTGGGATTTTTATGTTAACCACTTTCTTGACTAGGGAGATAGAAGGCACTGATTGGCTTAGGCCCGGGTTACCTGGGTGACCATTCTGAGCCAATCACTGCGGCAAAGGGGCGGGTTAATTAATTTAAACCATTCACCGCTGGAGCTAGGAGTTTGGAATCTGTCAGTCAACCCACAATTTACGGCTTTGATTACTGGGGTAGAGGGCGGAGGAGAGGACGTTGTGAAGGTGATCACATATGCAGGACGTTTCTTTTTTATTTAAAAATTTTTTTTGAAACAAGAGAGTTGCAAGTACGGTGCCAAGAACTTTTCCTCTGAATCCATTTTGAGAGTAAATTGCCAATCTGGTGCGCCCCCCTGAATACTGTCCCTGGCTGTCATCGTAGTGGGCGTGTCCCACAGAAAAGGGCATTCCAAGGCAAAGATCCTTTTTGTTCCTTTGGAGTCATAAGTTTTATACGAGACAACGTAAAAACACACATTCCTCGCCGAAACCGGTTTGGCTCAGTGGATAGAGCGTCGGCCTGCGGACTGAAAGGTTCCAGGTTCGATTCCGGTCAAGGGCATGTACCTGGGTTGCGGGCACTTCCCCAGTGGGAAATGTGCAGGAGGCAGCTGATGGATGTTTCTCTCTCATCGATGTTTCTAACTCTCTATCTCTCTCCCTTCCTCTCTGTAAAAAATCAATAAAATATATTTAAAAAAAAAACAAAACACACATTCCTCCACCAAACTTTCCGTCGGTCCACTTACTTACATCTACATGGACACATGGATGCTTATTTTATTGGAAGCGTTATGATCTGTTACCCGCAATGGGAAAAGAAAAACAGTTTATTGATTTTTAGGGAGAGAGGAAGGGAGAGAAACATCCACCTGAGAATGAAACATCCATCAGTTGCCTACTGCAGGACCCCAGGCCCACAGTCCAGGCACCTGCCCTGACTGGGAATCCAGCAGGCAACCCTTTGGTGCAAGGGAGGATGCCCAACCCACTGGGCCACACCGGCCAGGGCTGTAAACAACCCCCAGTGTTAACGTTGATGCCCAGAGTGTCCCAGATTGTTCAGCAGGAGCCCTTCAAGCCAACCCTGTGTGTTTCCATCTGTTCTCACTATCCTTTGAGCATTTCCTGACTTTCTGACCCAAGAAGATGTTCCGGGGTCATTTGTATCTTCCCTGTCTCTCCCCCCCCGCCCCCCCAATCAGCCATTTCCCCAAAGGGTCAAGGGGGAGGGGACTTCCGAAAGCTGGTGGCTGACCCCTCACCTCTGAATGACCCCCTCAGACTCTGATTTCAATGCGGCTGGGCCTGGCCAATGGCAGAGGCGATGCTCTAGTGGTCGCCATGGAGACCGCTGGGCCGCGGAGAGGAAGGAGGCGGTGACGTCATTGCGGGAGCAAGTGCAGCGGCCGCAGCCTCGTCTTAGCCCGGCCACGGGGCACCGAGGGCAGCCTCTGGGCCAGCGGCACCGAACCACCGAACCCGCCGCTCTGCCTGCCAGGCCTCCACCCCCAGCACCCGGGTGGCAGCGGCCCCAGCGAGATCCGCAGCCTCAAGTCTGCTGAGACCTTCGGAGGCACCGCCAAGCGAGGGGAAGCGGCATCTTCAGAGCCTCCCTGGTGCGGCCTCGCCCGGGAGCCACGAGCCGGCTGGCAGGCACCCTCCTGGCTTCACTCTGCGCGAGTCCCTGGGATCCCCAAGGGCAGGGCCCCGGGCAGCCTCGGCAGGTGGACAGATCAGGCCGCGCGCCTCTCTCTCTCTCTCTCTCTCTCTCTCTCTCTCTCTCTCTCTCTCTCGCAGGGCCTTGGGGAAGGAAGGGACTGTGGCATCCTGGATACCCCCGCGGAGTCCCGAGGCAGCGCGGGGGCGCGCCAGCGGGCTTACTGCTGCCTCCGAGAGCTGGGCAAGATGCTGTTCGGGGTGAAGGACATCGCGCTGCTGGAGCACGGCTGCCAGGCCCTGGAGGTGGACAGCGCCCGGTCCCTGATGATCCTGGGCATCCCCGAGGACTGCGGCCACGAGGAGTTCGAGGAGATCATCCGGGCCCCGCTGAAACCGCTGGGCGAGTTCGAGGTGGCGGGGAAGGCCTTCGTGGAGGAGGAGCGCTCCAAGGCGGCCATCATCAGGCTGCTGGGGGACGTCACCCACGCCGCCATCCCCCGGGAGATCCAGGGCAAGGGCGGCGCCTGGAGGGTGGTCTATATGCCCCGCAAGCAGGACATCGAGTTCCTGACCAAGCTGAACCTCTTCCTGCACAGCGAGGGCCGGACGGTGGAGGACGTGGCCCGGGTCCTGAGGCAGGAGCTGTGCCCGACGCCGACGCGCCCCAGGGAGCCGCCGGCCAGGAAGCTCTGTGCGCCCGGGTCCCCCGAGAAGCCGAAACCGGGGGCGGGGACCTCCGCGGCGCTGGCCCGGGCGCCGCCTCTGGACTCCGCCGAGGACAGCAAGGCTGCAGACGGCAAGAAGGGCAAGCGGAAGCCGAAGAAAAACCGCCGGCGGCACCATGCCTCGGACAAGAAGCTGTGAGGTGGGGTGGGGTGGGCGAGAGGCAGCGAGGGAGTGTGGGCGTCAGCTGAGTGGGTGTGGGTGGCCACTGAGGGAAGGTGGGTACCACCTGAGTGAGTTGGGGCATGCGAGTGAGTGTGGGTCCTGTGGGTGAGGTGGGTCACTCCGTCGAGTGGGTAACTGAGTAGGAATGGTATCATCTGGGTGGGCCTGGTTACATCTGACTGTGTGCGTGAGGGTGGGCGTTTGCATCTGAGTTAACGTGTGGGTTACAGCTGCGGGAGGGTGGGGCATGCATTCATTCCACCATTCATTCATTCATTCATTCATTCATTCATTCATAGTCAATTGACTATGCCCCAGGCACTGTCGTAGGAGCAGGGAATATGGAAGGAACAAATCCTGCCTTCACTGGTAACATTTGAGTTCCTTGGATACATCTGAACGGGGGTGGGTACCATCTGAGCAGACGCGGGTAATATCCGGTTGCGTGTGGCTCATTCATTCAGCAAATATTCCCCGAGCACCCACGGTGTACCAGGCACTGTTCCAGGCACCGGGGGTACATCAGGGAACAAACAGCCCCCAGCCTTGCCCCCACGGCACTCGTGTTAAGTGGGTGCGAGTAGCATCGAAGTTACCTGGCTGCATGCGTGAGCGTGGGTACCACGTGAGTGTGTGGGCAGCATCCGCGCACGTGTAACATGTGAGTCCGGGTGGGTTATATTTGAGCGGTTGGGAGTAGCACCTGATGATGTGTGTGTGTGTGTGTGTGGGGGGGTATTATGTGAGTCGGGGAGGCAACTTCTGAGTGAGGAAGCGCCTCAAAATCCTGCAAACGCGGCTGACTCCCGGGAGACGCCGCGGGACCAGCCGCGCAGTCGCAGTCGGCGGCGCTGAGCAGCGCGTCGGGCCGTTGCCACGGAGACCGCGTCCCCTCCCCCACCCACGCGGTGCCTGCAGGTGTTTGCGGGAACTGGAAGGAGAGAAACCGGTGCGGGACTCCAGGGTTTTACAGGAGGTCTTTCCATAGAGCTGAGGAGCATGGCAGGTGGTGGGGACTCGGGGCCAGGGAGGAAGGCCGCTGCTGTCCCCTCGCCACCCCCGCGGCCGCTGCCGCCGTGAGGACAGCCCCTCTTGCTGCGTGTGTGTTGCGGGAAGGAAGCACGGACGCCCCTACCTCCGGGCCGCCTGGAAATCCTGCCACCGCGAAGTCTAGAGTCGTTTTTTGTCTTCTAGAAGGATGTGCTTTGGCTGGACCTCTGGCACAGACTGTCCGGAGTGCGCGCCCTGTCTGCACACGACCAGCAGGGACCGAGCCTGACCAAGTGAGCTGCCTGCTCGCCAGGCCCGAGGGGCTCGCTGCTCTGAAAAGCGGCCGCTGTTCCCTACACGCTGCGTGTCCCTGGCCGGGATGGTCAGCCAGGGACCCTTCTGCTCTGATTGGCGCCAGAGGTCAGGGTAGGGGTCTCCCCAAATTAAATCCTAGAGGCTCTGACGTGGGGGGAGGGGCACGTTCCGCTCTCTAAAGAACAAGAGGCAAGGCTTGCAGGGAATGGCCCAAAAGGCGGTAAATAATTAAGAGGTCACCTTCAAGAGTTACCCATTAACGACAGTCAGGTTGAGTTGCCAAGTCCCCTGGGATGATAAAGAACAGAGGGAAGGCAGGCAGGCAGACAGGAAGGCAGGCAGGAAGGAAGGAAGGAAGGAAGGAAGAAGGAAGGAAGGAACGCAGGAAGGAAGGAAGGAACGTAGGAAGGAAGGAAGGAACGTAGGAAGGAAGGAAGGAAGGCAGGAAGGAAGGAAGGAATGTTAGGAAGGAAGGAAGGAGGGAAGAAGGAAGGAAGGAGGGAGGGAGGAAGGGAGGAAGGAAGGAAGGAAGGAAGGAAGGAAGGAAGGAAGGAAGGAAGGGAGGAAGGGAGGAAGGGAGGAAGGCAGGAAGGAAGGAAGGAATGTTAGGAAGGAAGGAAGGAGGGAAGAAGGAAGGAAGGAGGGAGGGAGGGAGGAAGGGAGGAAGGAAGGAAGGAAGGAAGGAAGGAAGGAAGGAAGGAAGGAAGGAAGGAAGGGAGGAAGGGAGGAAGGGAGGAAGGAAGGAAGGAAGGCCATCAGGTAATATCTAAAGGTCTGTGGGTAGACAGGCTCTTGCTCAGGGGCGCCTGACTTGTGAATCTGCAGACTTTCATTAGTTCAGCAAAAGTCTGAATTGATTTTCTTTCCAAAAATGTAATTTCTGCGCGCATGCTCAGATTCTTACCCATCAAATTGCTCAACAATAAAGATTTTTAAAAATAAGTGAAATTGAATACACATTGTGCCACTGGAGACCCCCAGTGCATTCCTGCGGTGGGCAATCAGCCTGTGGATTCCAGCGTCCAACCCCTTTCTTATTTCGGAGGCTGCCCCACTTTGCCCCCCTAGCAGAGCCCATAGGTGGAGGTCTTGTTCTCCACCCCCCCCCCCCCCCTTGGCAGCCGGGGTGCAGGTAAGGGACCCGCCTTCAGACGGTCAGAAACTCCTGGTAGGTCCTTGCCTTCCCAGCAGGTGTCAGGACACCGAGGAATTTTCAGAGTTCACTTGCCTTGACAGAACCTAAAACCCGGAAGACGGATTCCCGTCCACTCCCCAAACTGTCTCTCTACCGCAAGCCTCACTATCCCTCAATATCCTTCTCTTTGGCGCAGTGGCTGGGGTAGAGCTTTCCCTGCATCCCCTCACCGATATTTGAACTTCTTGCGAGTGCATCCCTGGTGCAGAAGACGATAGCTCCCTGTTGGTCCTGTTATCCTTTGTAAGTTTCCGGCCTGGTCACGCCCACTCACAGAATATTGTACTCACTGTCTCCTCAGAATCTGATCTTGAATAACATCCACACAAACCTCAGGCATATTTGCTCACTGCATGCTGTTCTCCCATCAAAGCACAATCATTGTCCAGGAGCAAGGGACAGGGTGACGTTTCTTGGCGTCCTATTGCAGCGCTAAGACCGCATTTGTGCCTGTCGTGGATTTCACGTGCTTCCCATACACAAAGTGAATGGGTTTCATGTTGCCTGCGACACCCAAGGCTCCTACCACTTCTCTCTGGAGCTTCTCTGGACTAGGTGAAGAGTTTCCTGAGGTTGCCAGGCCAGCTGTTGTGCAAAACTGGTGTGGACAGTTCACACCCTGCCTGTCTGTGTGAATGGAGACGGCCGCCGGCATAGCGGATCCCAAACAAAAATTCCCACGCTGGCTGGCGGAGGGAGGCTGCGGCTGGCCTTCGCAAGCCCCGGATTTTAAAAGTGGGTTCGGTTAAAACTTTTCATTGTTCCTTGTGGCTGATGCTGTGTTGGTCAAACATCCAATAAATATAAAATCCATGTGTGCCAAAGCAATCCGTCTGCTCGTTGATATTGGATTTAATCTGGAAAAACAATCTGGCTGCTAAGAAGCATTCTGAAAACCGTGGGTGGCGTTATTTGCAAAAGGGGTGTTATCAGATCTTACGGCCAAGAGAACAAAAAACACACTCTGCCGAGGGCTTCCCGCAGCTGGTAGGAAAGGGGAAACATTTTATCTGGAATAAAAACAGGAGCAGCTGCCCCGTGCTCCAGACAGGGAGCCGCGTCCTCCACACCCATTCATTCATTAGATCTTCCCTCCCTCCAGAAAAATGATTCAGTGACTGCACCCTGTACTGTGTGACTCACTCCCCAGGGAGGATGGGGCAGCTCCCACAATCCAACTCATGAGTGTTCTGAGGGAAGTGCAGGCTATTGGCCTTCAGTGAATAAATGAGGACTGGACACAGCTTCACATCAGTCTACATCTTGCCTACAAATGTTTGTCTGTTTGTTTATTTTGTTTGGGGGGGGTTTTGATGCAAAGCTTTCCACTTAGGGAGTTTCTAAAATATATATATATTTTATTGATTTTTTACAGAGAGGAGGGAAGAGGGATAGAGAGCCAGAAACATAGATGAGAGAGAAACATCCATCAGCTGCCTCCTGCACACTCCCCACTGGGGATGTGCCCGCAACCCAGGTACATGCCCTTGACCGGAATCGAACCCGGGACCCTTGAGTCCGCAGGCCGACGCTCTATCCACTGAGCCAAACCGGTCAGGGTAAGCTTAGGGGGTTTCAGAAAAGGAGGTAAGTGATGAGGAACCCGTTCTACGATCATGATCATCTCATTCTACAGACGAGGAAAGTGACACTCAGAGAGGTTAAGTGACTTGCCTACGGCCGCACAGGAAGTAATACTCATGCTCACTGAATATTCAATATGTATCAGGCACTCTTCTAAGCATTTCCCATAAAGTTAATTGAATCCTCACAGCACCACTCAACACTACCAGGCAGATACAAAATAATCCCGGTCTTGCCCTGGTGAGCGTGGCTCACCTGGTTGGTTGTCGTCCAGGCACTGAAAGGTCACCGGTTCGATTCCCAGTCAGGCACATGCCCGGGTTGCAGGCTGGATCCCTAGGAGGGGGTATGCAGAGGGTAGCTGATCACCTTTTCTCTCTCACATCGATGTTTCCCTCTCTCTCTCTCCAAATAAATAAAAACATATCTTTAAAAAATAACACCACGCCGGAGCCGGTTTGCTCAGTGGATGGAGCGTCGGCCTGCGGACTGGGGGGTCCCGGGTTCGATTCCGGTCGGGGGCATGTGCCTGGGTTGCGGGCATATCCCCAGTGGGAGATGTGTGGGAGGCAGCTGATCGATGTTTCTCTCTCATCAATGTTTCTGGCTCTCTGTCTCTCTCCCTTTCTCTCTGTAAAGAGTCAATGAAATATGTTTAAAAATAAAAAAATAAAAATAAAAAATAACACCAGTTTCCAGATTTGGAGGCTGAGACAGTCACACAATGTGCAAACAGAGCCAGAGTTTGAACCAGACTTGAGCCTGCATGCATAACCACTAGGCAACACTGCCCTTCTAACAACCATGGCTTGCATTAATTAATTAATTTAATTTATTGGTGTGACATCCTAATAAAAGACAAAAAGGGTAATTGACCGTACCTGCACTATGCTTCCCATTGGCTAATCAGGGTGATATGCAAATTAACCACCAACAAAGATGGCGACAAATTTGCATACTGCAGACAGGGCAGGACAGCGCCAGATGCCATCCGGCCCCCGTGTGCCACCTAAGCCCCGCTGCCAGCTGGGACCCCATGGCGATCCCAGAGCAGGCAAGTGCAGAGGGCGGGTGGCCCCCAGGTGGGGGGCCTCTAGTAAATAAATAATACCAGGAAGTGGCAAGTGCTGTGGTGAAAATAACTTAGGATAATGGGAAAACTCCCTATGGGGTGAATCCTAAAATTCCACATATATTAAACATTTTTTTTTTCTGGAAAAGTACAGCTATTTAACTGTGGGGGTGAGAGGCTGGAGGCTTGGGGTGGAGGGCTTGTTTTTCATTTTACACTTTTCTGTAACTTCAGCATTTTCTTAGTGCGGCGCGTCTGTGTGTGTGTGTGTGTGTGTGTGTGTGTGTGTGTGTGTGTGTACCACTTTTAATATTACTTTTATTTTTTTAATGGCAACCCAGTGAAGCTGAATAGAGAGATTTGGGCCATCTTTGTTTTCTTCCCTCATTCTTTACTGATTTTTTTTTCTTTTCAACAAATATAAAGCGGAAGCTATAATTATCCATTTGTCATGGGTGCTGGGGGAGGAGCTCCCTGCCAGAGACCTGGGCCATTTCAAACACCCGCAGCGGAACTGCTCTGGTTGGCAATTTTTGTAAGGATGTTAGACATGGGAGGTTTTCATTTCTAGGGTCATCTTCCCCTCCTTCCACCAAAACACAACGGATAAATAAATAAAACGATCTAAAGGTCTCATCTGACGGGTCATTGTCTTGCCTTCTCACAGTTGGATTCTTAAGCCATTATTCCTCGAACAGGGTGTCCGAGGGGTTTTTGCTTCGGGCCTCCACGAGGCAGCTTCTCAGGGGAGATGATGAGGGCATCAGAGCCAGGGAAGGGATGAGAATCCGGGAGGAAGCCTGCGCGCCCATCTCACCCACAGAGAGGACCGGCGCTTCAGAACGCGTGTCTTCGTTGCCATGGAGACCACTGGGAGGCGGGGCGAGAAACTGAACTGGAGGAGCGTAGTGGCTGGAGGCCCCGGGGGGAGGAGGAGGAGGAGGAGGGGGAGGAGGAGAGGGAGGAGGAGGGGGAGGAGGAGGAGGGGGAGGAGGAGGAGGGGGAGGAGGAGGAGGAGGAGGAGGAGGAGGAGGGGGGGGGAGGAGGGGGAGGGGGAGGAGGAGCGGGAGGAGGAGGAGGATAAAATCTAGGGAAGCCTAAGGCCGGGCTGTGCAATATGAAAAACAATCAGCATGAGCCAACAACTGTGCTATGGCCTCGGGGAGCCTCTAACCTCCCCGAAATCTCCAAGCATCTTTCTTCCTTCTTTCCCCCTCCCCCTTCCCTTCCTTTAACCTCTCCCTTCCCTCTTTCTCTAAACATCTGCCTGGTTCCTCCAGGAGTTAAATAAAATTACACGTGTTCATTTTTATATTGTGTATAAAAGTTATTATTTTTAACATGTTTCTATTGATTTTGGAGAGAGAGGAAGGGAGGGAGGAGAGAGGGAAACATCAATGTGAGAGAGTAACATTGTCCCTCATATGCACCCCGATCGGAGATCGAACCCACAACCTGGACATGCACCCTGACCAGAATCAAACGGGTGACCTTATGGTGCATCAGCCGATGTTTAACCAACTGAGCCACACCAGCCAAGGCTAAAGTCATTATTTCACGGGGTTGTGTTTTTTTCTGATGGAATTTCATTATCACTGGTTTCCTTTGTAAGCCAATAGATGTAATTCTAGTCATTGAAACACTTTATCCAGAAAAGGGTTCATGGCTTGGTAAAGGGTTAAGGATTCCTGGGCTACAGGGCTCTGGAGAGGGCAGAGGGGGGAGGGGTGGTGGCATAGAGGAGATTGCCAAAGAAGGTGGAGGCAGAGCATTCTGGGTGGAGGCAACAGCAAGTGCAAAGGCCCTGGGGTTGGGGGCGAGAACAGTGTGTTGGAGGAACAGTAAAGAAGAGGCAGGGGTGACTGGAGTGAGGAGAGGAAGAGAGGGAAGTGAGGGAGACCTGGTAGGGCTTTGTGGGCGATAGTGAGGGGTTTGATTTTACTCTGTCTGAGATGAAGACTTTGAAAAGAGTAGAGACAGCTGACAAGTTTTTAAAAGGCCCCTCCAGCTGCTGGGTCCGGGATAGACTGCAGGCAGCGAAGGTGCAAGAAGCGTGTTCTTGGATCCAGGCAACCGATCAAGGTCAGCCGCACCTTCTGAGCCTGCCTGGATGGTCACTGCAGGGCCTACCTTCACTCAGAGCTGCGCAACTTCAGACCAGCCTCAGTTTCCCCGTTGTAAGAAGATGATAGCTCTGAGGATTCCTAACAACAGGCCTAGTCAGCACATCGGCGCAGGGTGTCTGGTTTTAAGGTAACCCTCCATGCAAGTTAACTATTATTATTACTAATGCCATCGCTATTGTGCATATCCCTGCTGAGCTGGCTGCCTCAGGGTTACCTGGGAAACTACAAATCCTACCCCCATGTCCCAGCTGTCCTAACCCACTATGTCTGTGGCCGAGTATGAGGACCTTTGGTTTAATTTAATTTTTTTTTCATCCTCACCTGAGGATATTTTTCCATTAATTTTTAGAGAGAGGGAAAGGCAGAGAGAAACATCGATGTGAGAGAAACACATCGATTGGTTGCCTCCTGCACGAGCCCTAACCAGGGCCCCAAGCCAGGGAGGAGCCTGCAACCGAGGTATGTGCCCTTGACCTGAATCGAACCCGGGACCCTTCAGTCGGCAGGCCAACACTCTATCCACTGAGCCAAACCAGCTAGGGCTAATTTAATTTTTTAATTAACATTTCTGATTGCTAAAAATCCAAGCGATCCAAAAGGATATAGAAAAGTACATGTCCCCAGGGCCCCTCCCCAGAAACAGCCATTGCCGGCAGTGCTTGTCTGTGTGCAGAACATGTGTGTAGGCCTTGGCCCTTACACACACACACGCACACACACACACACACACACACACACACACACGCCAGGCTGTTTCAGATTCAGACCCAGGTTCTGTCACTTTCTGATCCTGAACAAGTGATTTTATTTCTTTGGCGATAAAGTGGGACTGATGATTGTAGTCTCTGTCTCATCATGTTATGATGAGGATTATATGAGCTGGTTTCGTAGAAAGCGCTTACAAGGGTGCCGCCTCTTCAGGAAATGCTGCATAAACCTGACTGCCCTTATTCATAGCAGCTCAGCATCTTACTGTCGGAATAGATCGTGAGATTGAGTCTCTTCTGATAAACAATTGGGTTCATTCTTTCATTTCACTCAAGAATATTTATTGAGCACCTACTAGGAGCTGGTGCAATAACACCCTGGTACCACTTCCTCCACCCCCGTATCTGGGTAGGTAGGAGGGAATCGCTGGTCCCAGAAGGCCTGTCCTTTGAAAATGGTGCGATTCAGGGGCAATGACACTGAACGGACGGCCTCACTAGCCCACCCACCTCCAGCTCGGCTGGAACCCGCACGTGCAGGATGGCTGGTTTGGAAACTGCCTTTCCCGGGGAAGGTGCTGACGTGGGCCGCCGCCTCGCGCTCCGCTTGGAAAGCGGTGGCCCCAGCGAGGCCCGGGGCGCGGCCACACCCCCGGGCGGGAGGGGAGTGAGGGCGCCCCGAAGGGAGTGGGCAGCCCCCTTGTCAGTCTTCCCCTGTCCGGGAGGGGGGCGGGGGGGTGTAAGATGAGACGGGGGAAGGTGGGCCTCACCCTGGGGAGGGCGAGGAGGAACTTCCTGCCCGCGCGCTCGCTCCGGGGCACAGCGCGCGCCGACCAGGAGGCGGGAGGCGAGTCAAGGTCAGCCTGGACCAGGTGGCCGCCTGCCGAGGGGCGGGAGGCCCTCCCGGGGGGCTGGGCGGCCTCCCCCGAGCGCTCGGCCATATTGAATAGCCGCGGCGGAGCCGTCTTTGTCTGCGAAGTCCTCGCCCAAGTTCCAGGCGCGCCCCCGTGCCCGGGCCGGGAGGAGCCACGGCCGCCCGCGCGCTCCAACTTGCAGCCGGGACACCACGTTTTCCGCTCGCGGTGGGCGGTGAGCCTCAGGACGGGCCTCGACCCGGCTCCCGTGAGCGTCCTGAACACGGATTCCCCCCGCGGGCTGCGGGGAGCCGGCCTGGGTCCAGCAGGACTAGTTGCCGGCGGAGGAATTGGGAGGCGCTGGCTCACCCCCACCCGGGAGAGGGGAGACTCTCCGCGCAGCATTGCCGGGACCCCCTCCCCGCCCCCACTTCGTGCAGTTTAGGCTCGTTGCCCCCACCCAGATTTCACGCTGGAGATCCTGAAGACCCTCGAGAAAAGCCACGTGGGGGGCTGGTTCCCCTGGGGCTTCCTCCCGTCCCCCGACGGCCTGATTCTCTGGAGCGTGCCCGACGTCTGCAAAGATGTGGACCTGGACGTGCTCGTGGACGCCCTGAAGCCCGTGGGGACCTTTAAGAAGATCGGCAAGGTGTTCCGCCGGGAGGAGGACTCCACGGTGGGGATGCTGCAGATCGGCGAGGACGTGGACCACCTGCTCATCCCGCGCGAGGTCCGGCTGGCGGGGGGCGTCTGGAGGGTCATCTCCAAGCCCGCCACCAAGGAGGCGGAATTCCGGGAGCGGCTGACCCGGTTTCTGGAGGAAGAGGGCCGCACCCTGGAGGACGTGGCCCGCATCATTGAGAAGAGCACCCCGCACCCTCCCCAGCCCCCCCAAAAGCCCAAGGGGCCCCGAGTGAGGAGGAGAGTCCCGCAGATGGCGACCCCGCCTCCCCGGCTGGTCGTGGGCACCTACGACAGCAGCAACGCCAGCGACAGCGAGTTCAGCGACTTCGAGGCCTCGCGAAAGCAGGGCGACCAAGGCCGCAGGGGCCCCATGCGCAGCGGGAAGGCGCGCAAGATGCCGGTCAGTTACCTGGGCAGCAAGTTCCTGGGGAGCGACCTGGAGAGCGAGGATGACGAGGAGCTGGTGGAGGCCTTCCTCCGGCGCGGGGAGAAGCAGCCGGGCGCCCAGCCCGCCCGCCGCCGCGGGAACCTGCCGGTGCCCATGTTTGAGGACGGCCCGGGGCTGCAGCCGCCCAAGGGGGACAGGTGGCGGGAGTACGTCAGCCAGGTGTCCTGGGGGAAGCTGAAGCGCAGGGTGAAGGGCTGGGCGCCCAGGTCCGGCCCCGGAGTGGGTGAGGCCCAGCAGGCCTCTGTCAGGGTGGAGAGGGATGAGGTGCCATGTAGCGCCCCTCAGGGGGATCACGTGGTGAGCGCAGGAGGTGGGCTGGTGCCCGAGGCTCCCCCAAGGCGATGGAGGCCCAAGATTAAGTGGGCCTCGTTTAGGCTGCTCAGGAGGGAGGAAGCAGCATCCACAGCTCAGGGGGCAGAGGCTGCAGCTGATCAGAGGGCGGAGACTGTGGGTAATCAGAGGGTGGAGGCTGCAGCTGATCAGAGGGTGGAGGCTGTGGGTAATCAGAGGGTGGAGGCTGCAGCTGGTCAGAGGGTGGAGGCTGTGGGTAATCAGAGGGTGGAGGCTGCAGCTGATCGGAGGGCGGAGGCTGCAGCCGATCAGAGAGTGGAGGCTGCAGCTGCTCAGAGGGTGGAGGCTGCAGCTGATCAGAGGGTGGAGGCTGCAACTGATCAGGGAGCAGAGGCTGCAGCCGCTCAGAGGGTGGAGGCTGCAGCTGCTCAGAGGGTGGAGGCTGCAGCTGCTCAGAGGGTGGAGGCTGCAGCTGCTCAGAGGGTGGAGGCTGCAACTGATCAGGGAGCAGAGGCTGCAGCTGCTCAGAGGGTGGAGGCTGCAGCTGCTCAGAGGGTGGAGGCTGCAGCTGCTCAGAGGGTGGAGGCTGCAGCTGCTCAGAGGGTGGAGGCTGCAGCTGATCAGGGAGCAGAGGCTGCAGCTGCTCAGAGGGTGGAGGCTGTGGGTAATCAGAGGGTGGAGGCTGCAGCTGATCAGAGGGTGGAGGCTGTGGGTAATCAAAGGGTGGAGGCTGCAGCTGATCGGAGGGCGGAGGCTGCAGCCGATCAGAGAGTGGAGGCTGCAGCTGATCAGAGGGTGGAGGCTGTGGGTAATCAGAGGGTGGAGGCTGCAGCTGATCAGGGGGTGGAGGCTGTGGGTAATCAGAGGGTGGAGGCTGCAGCTGATCAGGGGGTGGAGGCTGTGGGTAATCAGAGGGTGGAGGCTGCAGCTGATCAGAGGGCAGAGGCTGTGGGTAATCAGAGGGTGGAGGCTGCAGCTGATCAGGGGGCAGAGGCTGTGGGTAATCAGAGGGCCGGAGCCCCAGTTGTCCAGGGAGCAGAGGCTGCAGCTGATCAGAGGGCAGAGGCTGTGGGTGATCAGAGGGCCGGAGCCCCAGTTGTCCAGGGAGCAGAGGCTGCGGCTGATCAGAGGGCAGAGGCTGCAGCTGATCAGGGGGCAGAGGCTGTGGGTGATCAGAGGACCGGGGCCCCAGTTGTCCAGGGAGCAGAGGCTGCATCTGATGGGGCCGAGGCCAGAGCTGGTCAGAGAGCAGAGGCTTCTGCTGAAGCTGCCGCCTTAGCTGCCCCGGGAGCCACAGGAGCGACCCCAGGAGCTAGGGCCCGGAAGCAGGTCAAGACAGTGAGATTCCAGACCCCTGGGCGCTTTTCGTGGTTTCGCAAGCGCCGGAGAGCCTTCTGGCACACTCCCCGGTTGCCAACCCTGCCCAAGAGAGTCCCCAGGGCAGGCGAGGCCGGAGGCCTCAGGGTGCTGAGGGCCGAGGCCAGAGCAGAAGCGGAGCCGGAAGAGCAAGAGGACCTGCTGTGAGGCGGGCATAGAAGCCAGAGAGCCCCTGCCACCTGCCACCTACCGGCCACTCAGGGCGCCCCCCTCCCCCGCACTTGGACAGAGATGCTATTTCTGCCTCCACGCGTGAAAAAGGAGGTGGGGCTGGAGGTGGACCGAGGGCCGGCAGCACCTACCACCCCTTTTCTTTTCTTGTTAAAATTTTAACTTTCATGCATTGATTTTTTTTAGAAAAAAATACAGACTCTCTAGTAACCCAGGGAACGTAAGGAAAGAAACCGGTGCAATGGGGTTGCATTAACTTCCTCACATGCAACCCTGGGTGCTCAGCGTGACGGGAGCCAGGCGGAGAGAAATTCCCTCCTCTTTGCTTTCCGTGCTCCCTCCCGCTGCACATCTCATGGTGCTGGCCTCCTGGAACCTACAACATGTAAATAAAAATGTTTACAAACTTGTTGCCTGGCTTTGGACTTGGCAGCTAAAGACTGCCCCCCCCCCCGGGGTGATTTTTGTCACGCCCTTGTCCACCCTCCGGATGGCGACCTGCATTTATGTCACTTTGCTTGCCATCCCCGCACCTCTGGGTGCTGCCGGCTCCACGGGTCCAGGGCCTGCAGCGTATATGCGCTTCATGCACTCTACAGGCTTCATGCACTTTACACGCTTCATGCACTTTACATGCTTCATGCGCGTTACGAGGGACGGGAGACTCACCGGGAAGTGTGTCCAAATGCTGTGCTTGCTAGGGCTGCCTGTGAGGCCAAGGAACTGTATGTGTGTTTTTTCTTTTTTAAAATATTTTTTATTGATTTTTTTACAGAGAGGAAGGGAGAGAGAGGGATAGAGAGTTAGAAACATCAATGAGAGAGAAACATCGATTAGCTGCCTCCTGCACACCCCCTACTGGGGATGTGCCCGCAACCAAGGTACATGCCCTTGACCAAGAATCAAACCCATGACCCTTTGGTGGGCGGGCCAGGGCTCCAACCACTGAGTGCACCAGCCAGGGCACAGGAATCTGTTTTGATCAAGCCCCGTGAACACCTACCTGGGAAGCTGGCAATTGGAACAGGCCGGTGCAAGGCGGGGTGTGTGGTCGTGTGGGGTGCCCTGTAGTTACAGTTGGGAGAGATGGGGCTGCTAAGGTCCGTGGGAGCTGGGGGACACCTCTCTGTGCTGTTTGTGTCCTCCCACCCCGACCCCCACTCCCCCCACTTCACTGAAGCAGGAGGACAGGAAGTCACTGCCGGGGGGCTCTGAAGGGCAGCTCTGGCCTCCTGTCTGTGGCTGCAGCCTGGCAGGAGTTGCTGTTTTTCCCCTCGGAACTGAAGAACGAAGCAGCCTCTCCCAGCCGCCCCGGAAGTGGTCGTGTGGGTGCCGCTGGCTGTGAAGCTAAGAGCCCCTCTGCCTGGTGGTTCAGAGCTCACAGCCTGGCAAGAAGGAGCCCCCATGGGCTTTGAACGCCAGTGGAGGGCTGGGCTTTGGAGGTGGCAGGGGGAGAGCTGGTGAGCACTCCAGGTGCCAGGGTGGTGGTGGCACTGCGGCTGTCTGTCCGTGGCTACTGCCCATCTTGGGGAATGTGGGCCTCCTTACCACGGCCCCTGGGCTGATTGGGATGCTGGAAGGGGAGCGGAGCTGTGAGCAGGGATGGGGACTCAGGCTGTAGGCAAACCTACCCGTCCCCCCTCCGCCTGCTAATTCTGTTTGTCCCTCCTGTCCCGGCGTCCCAGCATGAGCTTCCAGCGAGGCCATGGCGGTGGGAGGACCCTTGAGCAACCTGAGACGGTACCAGGGCTTTCTTTTATATATATATATTTTATTGATTTCTTACAGAGAGGAAGGGAGAGGGACAGAGAGTTAGAAACATCGATGAACGAGAAACATCGATCAGCCGTCTCCCGCACACCCCCCACTGGGGACGTGCCCGCAACCAAGGCACATGCCCTTGACTGGAATCGAACCCGGGACCCTCTGGTCTGCAGGCCGACGCTCTATCCACTGAGCCAAACCAGTCAGGGCAGGGCTTTCAATATTATTTTCAATCCAAGGGGGTTTCTGGGAGGAAGCCCCCCCGAAAACTGGAGTTTTGTTGCCAAACCAGCCTTTATGTGGACTGGCCAGCCTCCCTGAACTGTAACCAAAGAGAAATCAATGGAAATCAGACACAGAAATGCCCCCCACACAGGGGCTTTCTGGGTCCCCCTTCCCAGGCCCCAAGGTGGGGTGACAGGAAGCGAGGAAACCATGTGAGGTCGGGGGACAGAGTGAGGAGGGATTTGGAGCGAGGCTGCCCATCTCACCTCCAGCTGCACTGCCCCTCACAGCTGTGTGGCCCTGGGCGGGTTATTAACGTCTCTGAGCCTCCACCTACTCACCTGAGTGAGTGATCATCACAGAGCTCCCCACGTGGGGCCGCTGAGAGGAACGAAGACCTGAAGTGTCAGAGCTCACATCAGCCTCAGCCGGTGTCATGGCGTGTTATTCCTGTTACATGTCATGGCGTGTTATTCCTGTTACATGTCAGAGGCGGCCAGTTCTTTACATCTCAGCCCTGACGGGGACTCCCAAGGTAGCGGTTCCCATCCTGGCTGCCATGTGGAATGACCTGGGGGCTTTCACACACTCGGGCCCAGCCTGCTCTCTCAGAGGTTCCCAAGAGCTGGTTCGGGTATGGCTGGGGCACCCAGAGCCCCGAGGCTTCCGGGTGATTCCCAGGTGTGGGGGGTGGGGGGAGGGATGGGGGGGGGTGATAGGAGGTGTGGGGGGTGTGTGGGGGTGTGTGTGTGTGTGCGGGGGGCGGAACCACGGTCCGAGGGTCCGGAAGGTAATCAGACCTCAAACTGGCTGTGCATCACCATCACTTAAAGGGCCTTTTAAAACACAGATGGCTGGATCCCAACCCCAAGTGATTCTGTAGGTCCGGGGGGGTGGGTGGGGGGATCTATACATGGACATTTCTGGTTGTTTTTTTGTTTTTTGGTGTGTTTTTTTAAAATCCTCACCTGAGGATATTTTTCCATTGTTTTTAGAGAGGGAAAGACAGAGAGAAACACCGATGTGAGAGAAACACATCGACTGGTTGTCTCCTGCAGGAGCCCTGACCAGGGCCCAGGCCAGGGAGGAGCCTGCCACCGAGGTTCATGCCTTTGACCGCAATCGAACCCGGGACCCATTGGTCCACAGGCCGGCGCTCTATCCACTGAGCCAACCCGGCTAGGGCTGTACATTTACATTTCTATCAAGAATATGCCTTTCTACCAAGCCCGCAGGTGATGCTCACGCTGCTGATCCCAGGACCTCACCTGAAGGAGCGTCCATTCCCCCTCCCGGCCGGTGCCTAACGCACCTTCAGCGGCCCTGGAGCGCCCTCTGGTGGGCACCGGGGGAGCGCGGCAGGCGCGGGCCACCTGGCCACGACCTCAGCGGGGGGTAGTGGGGAGGAGGCTTCGCTCGCTGCTCCCGGAGCCCCGTCCTTCCTCCCCATAGTTCTAGGACCTAACTACCCTCGGGCCTTGAGCGGGTGGAGAAGCCGGGACGGGGTCAGCGGGGGCGGGGGCGAGGGTGTGGGGAAGTGTGGGGGGTTCCAAGCCAAGGCACCTCTGCCTCTTGCTCTGGAACTGTTATGCGGGGATGTGCGGGAGACCTTGAGTTAAGGCAGGGATTGAGCTCCCTTCCTCCGCTCTCGGAGCCTCAGTTTCCTCCTCTGGGAAATGGGGGTGAAAACCTATTTCCCCAGCCGTGGCCGGTGTGGCTCAGTGGATAGAGTGTCGGCCTGTGGACTGAAGGGTCCCGGGTTCGATTCCGGTCAAGGGCATGTACCTGGGTTGCGGGCACATCCCCAGTGGGGGGCGTGCAGGAGGCAGCTGATGGATGTTTCTCTCTCATCGATGTTTCTAACTCTCCCTTCCTCTCTGTAAAAAATCAATAAAATATATTTTAAAAAAACCAACAACCTATTTCCCCAAAACTATTCCAACCATAGGATCAAATGAAGAATCCCCGCCCCCCCCCCCCCCCCCAATCTACTCACTCCAAAGACTGGATAGGACACAAGCCCAGCACCGGCCCTGGCCCTGCGGGGGTCAGTGACGACAAGTGAACCCCCACCCCCCACCAGCATCACCCCCTGGCTCAGGGCTTTGGCACCGGCTGCTCCTGCCCCTGCGTGCGCTCCCCTCGGGTATCCGCTGCCTCGCCGCTCCCTCCTCCGGGCTTTGGCTCACCCGTCACCGCCTCAGCGAGGCTTCCCCGCAGCCTCAAACCGGCGGTGCCTGCACCCCCTCCTGCCCCGCCCGCCGGCTCCCCCCCGCAGTCACCGCGTCTAATGCGGGCCCCGCGCTTCTCCGGCGGCATTAGCACCTGCCGCCGCCCCCCCCTCTCTCCTCCCCCCGCGTCTGCATTCGTGCGGCTTCCCGCAGCCCCATTCCCAGCGCCGGGCCGGGATCCACGTCCTTTCAGCCTCGCAGGCGCCCTCGGTCTCCTCCGGGGACCCCGACGTCTCCCACCAGAGGCGACTCCCCCGCCTCCGTCCACCTCCGGGGCCTCGGCACCTCGGGGCGCCCCGCGGGGACAAACCCGCCGCCAAGGGGCCTGGCGGGCTCCTCGCGCCGCCTTCCCGGCGGGGTCTCAGGCCGGGGCGCGGCTGCTCCGTGGACCTGAGACGCTGCTCGGCGCCCCGGGCCCTCCCGCCGGCGGAGCGTCCCAGCACCGTCCTCGCCCGCGCGCCCGGGTCGCGTTCGCCAAGCCCGCGCGGCTCCTTCGTCCATTAGTCACGGACAACGGGAACCGCAGCCGCCGAGCGTGGGCACCGGGCTGGCGCTGGGGACGCGGCGGGGACAGGGCTAAGTCCCCCCCTCCCACCCCCCTCCCCCTCCCTCCCCAGCGGGTGGATCCTTCCCGCCGCCTGGCCCTGGGGACACTGGGCTTTGTCTTGAGGTCACTGGGGAGCCGTGAAGCCCTGAGCGGAGGAGGGGCCATGTCAGATCTGAAGTTTGATGGGGATGGGGGGGAACAGAGGCCGGGAAGGAGACTGGGGCTGAGGAGGGAGACACCGGGCAGGGCTGGGGCCTGGAGATGGGGCAGGTCTCAGGGTGAAGCCCGCGGCCTCCCAGTCTGAGCGAGGATGGGGTGGCCTCCAGCCTGACGCCACGCCCCGCTCCCGCCCAGAGCCGGGCCCAGGCTTCCAGCGGCACATTCCCACCTGGGGTTCCCTTCTGTACCCTCCTCAGCCCAGAGGGTGCTGGTCCCCCAATGCCCGCAAGTCCCGGCCCTTGATCTGCCAAGAATGACAAGAAAAAAACAATGGCACCAACCTGGGAAGGGAGAGTGGGCACGTGGGCGACAGGGATGCGTGGGGAGGAAGCTGGGGCTGTGCGTGTGAGTGGGCGACGGGGCGTGCGGATTGTGAGAGGGTTTCAGCAGT